GATTTATTGTTCTGTTATTGAGCTCCAAATTTAATTACTTCTTTTTTTTATTTTTATTTTTTAAAAATCAATTTGAACTTAGAATGTTATTAAGTTATCGATTTGTACCTCTTATAGAAGAACAATTATACATATTAAAAAAAAAGTTAACATCTATCACGTTCAAAGAACGTGGTTCAGTAGATAAAGTTTTTTTAAAAAAAATCATAATCATATATTTCAGACTTGAGCTCTAGAAATAAAAAAAGTCTTTGGTAGGGAGCGTTTCTCCTTGAATGTATCTTACGTGGCACAAGTTCAAATATAGTCGAGCTTCAATGTGGGTATCATAATCAGTATGGTAATTTGTAGTTATGGTTAAAAAATCAAACTCACCCGCAATCCAAACCCAATCGACTTAAAAAAAAGATACTTGATTTGGTTAGGTTTGGTTTTAAATTTTGAAAATCGATAACTATTTGGTTTGTTTTGAATTTACCAAAAATCAGTCGCAAAAATAACCAAAACAAATCGATAAATTAGATCTGTACATTTTATAATTATTTATATATCATTCATAAATAAAATATAAATATTTTATTAGATTTTGATTAATTTGAGTATTCAACTTTACAATTTACTCAATTCCAACACTTAAATTCTAGCTTAACTATTACAATCTATGTTCAAGTCCAAATTCATTATTTTAGTCTTTATCTACCCTACCTCACATAAGATAATCTCATTTTCTCTTTATCGAATCACTGTGTTCGTGGAATAATAACTCTTGTATTGCTTAATTGCTTAATTGAACCGACAATAGCTTTCTTGTGGACTATTCATGTACTAGTTTGTGTCCATCAATATATGTATGTTCTAAAAAAACTTGATTACTTTCAAATCGAAAAAAAACAAAAAAAACTAAATCAAACTGACGATAATCAAACCGACCTTTATTTTTTTTTGGTTTGATTTTAGGAATTCAAAAAATCAACTAGATTGGTCTGATTTTGATTTTAACTAATAACAGATCCAAACCAAATCACGAACACCCTAGACACCAAAATGAAAACCAAAAAGAAAGTCAACATCGAATGAAAATTGGTAAAAAAACTAACACCTTGTTTGGATGGTTGTTGCCCTATTATATCGTAGTTTAAATATAATGTTTGTTTTGATTGTTACTTACATTCTATTATATTGTATCAATTAAATTCATTGTTCCGTAATGACAAAATGATTCATTTTATGTAACGATCGATTTGGTGTGAATGTGTTGTGTAAAGGCCCGTTTGGCCATTAATTTTTCAAACAATATTTGGAAAAATTTGGCAAATAATGTTTGTCCATATAATTTGCCATTATTTGACAAATATTTTTGGCAAATATCCCAAATTTCCAAATACTAGTTTTTTCTAGTATTTGGGCAAAATCTCATTATTTGGGATATTTTAAAAATTAAATTTTACCCCAATCTTTTATCTTTTACAAAAACACCCTCTTTAGTAGTTGCATGTGTTTTATTACATAATTTTTTATGTGGATACCAAAATAGTGATGAAATATTTAGTGAATATTAAATAATGATATGATTGTTGATGAAAATTATTAAAAATTGGCTCTAGGTAATAAAGTCATGTGCTTTGTCTACTTCACGATGTATGGAATAATTCTTGTTGCACTCACTCCAAATTACCACATTGCTTTAGTGTCATGGACACTATTTGTTATTGTTGTAACAAACATCCAATTGACTTGTAACACAAACCTTTAGTTAGTTTTGATAGTTTTTAAAACTTGTGTGTATAAATCATATTTTTCTAAAAAGGTGAAATATATTTCCCAAATCTTATGGCCAAACACATGGTGAAATTTCACCCAAATTTTCACTCATATAATATTTGAAAATCTATGGCCAAACGCTAGCTTAATATTCTCTTCTCATTTTGTCTTTATTTATTACTTAACAATCATATTTAATGTGTTATTTTACCTTTACATAGTAGCTCGACCATGTACTCGACTTTTTTTTGGTAGGTCTATCAATAAAATTATGGATGTGTGACAGACATTATGTAACAATGAAAAACAATACAGTCTATCCAAAACTATTTATACAATATAATATGATACATTATGAAACAATATGTAACAACCATCCAAATTAAGTGTTAGAGGTGTCTGATCATATATATATATATATATATATATATATGATCAGATTGGTTCATATTTTTCAAATATCAAATTAAAATATTTGTGTCAAAATTTTAAATCTATAAACCAAATCAAAGAAACAAAACTTAGATTTTAACCTCATTATTTTGGGGGGTTTCATACTTTTTTGGGATTTTCCCAATAAAGTATTCTAAAAACATATAATAAACACTTGCACTTCAAATGTATATAAAAATGCAACTATATAAGATGTTTCTTAAGAAAAATAATATAAAATATGAGATGAGGGAGTACACTTAAATACTCAACAAAAAATAATATTGAATTGAAATTGCATAAAAGAAATATTGTAAATTAATAAGACATAATGAAAACGATCATAATTTTAAAGACTAAATCATGTTAAAATAAGTCTAATAAGTATTAATTATGACATGACTAAATAGAGAATTTCTAAAATTAGATTATAAATGTCTAAATCAATGTAAACCTAAATAACACATATTCAACATTATTGTCATTCGTACTGTTGCATTAATTTTTTTCTCTATAAGCATTAGTATTAATTTGAGTTTGATTTGAGCTTTATTAAAGTTACTGACATTTATGAACAATAAACTTTATTTGATTCAAAATTTTATTCAAACTTAAAATAGCATGTTAAAAATAAAAAGTATAAGAAATATTTTAAAATTATATATAAGTAAATATTTTTATGCATAAGATACAATTTTAAAATTATATATAATGTCGGATTAATTTGATCTCGAGTTAACTTTTAATTAGAATCAAACTAAGTATAATTGAGATGTTTTCAATACCAAACCACTAATCAATTTTTTTTCCAATTTGCTCGATTTGTATTTTAATTCAATTTTCAGGTTTGATTTTTGTAACCCTACCTTATCCAAATAGGGGTTCATGCACCAATATAAATTAAAATTTCGGCCTAACTTATAAACAACTAGTAAGAAGATGCGCATAAGCTAATAGCCATGCATTTGGGAGTCAGCTGATATGAGGTGTTTAAAATGAATAAATCCTAGTTAAAGTGTATAAGTGGAAATTGCTGTCAAGTTTAGAAAGTCACCGGTGAGTTAGGCCCCATATAAAATATTTACGATAAACAATAAACTTATTTAAATATCAAAATTTGAAATGTGTTACATGAGTTAAACCATAAAGCCTAATATATAGTCATGCTCTATTTTAACTTGGGAGCAGGAGCGACTCAAATCCGTTGGTGGCCTACGGCCAAAATCAAACTAGAGGCCTTAAAAAAATATATAAATGATTTTATTTTAAATTTATTTTTATAGCTTTTTGAGATGCAAAGTTGTTAATAATTTTTATATAGTTAATCTCTCCTAATAATTCCTTTTCAATCGATAATATAGTCAAACCACTTAATCTTTCTTGAAACATTGACGATTTTAAACACTATTTACAATATCAAATTAAAAAAATATAATAAACATAAGACATAAAATAAAAATAATATTAGAAATTAGTATGATATTACCATATTCAAAAGTCATGAAGACTTGATTTCGAAATGAATGGAGTTGCTGTAATATATTTTTTCTCCAAATTTAAAATATAAACTATCATTAAGAGCAACTTCGTTCTTAAACTTTGAATAAGAAACTAAGAAAGATATAACATTAGAAAGGAGAAAGTGAGAAGAAACAGAGGAGAGGAGGATAAAATATATAAAAATAAAATTAAAAAAAAAGATAATGTGTACATTAAAAAAAAGTACACAACTTTTTATTGAAAATAAAAAGTTGAAAAGCTAATCACTATTGCCTTTTAACCTTTCCATTTAATTTAATTTTTTTTATCCGTTTCTCATTTATTATATGAGATTTTATTTTTTTTAATTTTACCTAATTAAATAAAAAGTAGAACCCCTAAAGTTGAGGACCTGAGACAAATGACTTTTTTTAAAAACTAACGAGCCACCCCTTGGGAGAAACTACCACTGAAGAATGTTAAAAAAGCTAAAAATTACTTGATAAACATAAAAGTGTGCATAACGACAACAAAGATAGGAACTGATCGAGTGCATGAAAAATATGATCAATCACACAATCAACGTCAATGACTTCTCTAGAATATTCACAAGAACACAACTCAAACCTTTTCTTTAAGAAATTTGATATAAAGGTATATTTAAATTGAAGATATTGACGGACCGATTAATCACTAGAGTATATATCGGGAACTCAAATAAAAATAAACCTGACTTAAATATTATGTTAAGAAATGGTCTTTGAGCGTAATACAACACAAAAGCTTGTTCAAATATACATAATCAAACTACTCGTCCCGAATAAAATCACACACAAATTAAGTTGTGACAATTTATCCAAAATTTTAACACAAACGTGAAATTCCCGCCAATGAAACAAATTAAACATAGATATATGGAAGAGAAAAAACGTGGAGATGGTGTAACTTTATTTAAGAAAAAAAGAGAATAAAGTAATAACAGACTCCAGATTACTATCACACATTTCTTGCTTATATAAAGCCCATTATATCCTCAAATTCACTTTCAAAAAAAAAAATTGATTATACAAACAACAATAATATAGTTATGGAGAAATTCAAATTTTTAGCAATGATTATAGTCCTGTTGATGTATTTTGAATCAGTAAAATCAGAAATTCCTCTCGCACCAGCATTGTATGTATTTGGGGATTCAATATTTGACAGTGGAAATAATAATGTTTTGCCAACTTTAGCTAAGGCTGATTTTAAACCATATGGTTCGAATTTTGACGGAGGCAGAGCTACTGGAAGATTTACCAATGGAAAAACTGTTGCTGATTTTATTGCTGAATTTCTCGGATTGCCATTTTCTCCGCCTTATTTGAGTTTACGAGGATCGTTAAAACTCACTGGGTTAAATTATGCATCTGGATCCTGCGGGATTTTACCTTATACAGGAAATTTCATCGTGAGTTTTTTTTTTTTTAAATGTTAGTAGAAATTGATGCACAAAATTCTTCAAATGAAAGTTTCTTTTGTTTTTTTTTGGTAGGGAAAGTGCCTGCATTTTTCGGAGCAAGTTGATTTATTCCAAAGAACGGTAGAGCGAGAATTGCCCAGAAAGTTTGATGATCCTGAAGAGTTTTCGAGTTATTTGTCTCGATCGATTTTTGTGGTGTCTACAGGCAACAATGACTATGTAAATAACTATTTACAGCCAAATATTTATGGGACGAGCAAACGCTATACGCCTGATTCATTTGCTAAACTTCTCATTGATACACTCTCTCAACAACTTCAGGCAAGCTTATCTCATTTTTACGATTTGAAGATTGATATACTCTGAGTTTTAAGATAAATGATTTTATTTTGATTATGGATCATTTGTGCAGAGATTATATCGACTGGGAGCAAGAAAGATAATAATGTTTGAGATAGGACCAATTGGTTGTATTCCATCATTTACAAAGAAGCTTCGACCTAATGGACGTTGCAACGAAGATTATAACGCTCTCGCAGTAATTTTCAACAATCAGCTGAGTGACATGCTAAAAAATCTCACTTCGACTCTTCAAGGCTCTGCTTTTATTCTTGGCCATGGTCACTGGCTCGGCTACGATGCCATCATCAATCCTTCTGTTTATGGTAATATTTCTTCTCTCGTCTTAAATTATTTGTCATATTTTTTTTAAACGTCAAATTGTATAAATATTGGCCAATGCTTAAAGTGTATTTTTCATATGGAAGTTGAAGTTAATCATCTTTGAGATCTGGCTATGGAGAAGATTCTATTAGGAGCGGGTTTGTAGATAAACATTTGGTGAATAATTTTTATTTCATGTGAAATATAGAATAATTAGCATTTAGCTTGATGTGCTTTTATTTTGTACAACAACTTATTTTTGAGTTGGTCATAAAATTGATTCTGCTAATTTAAATTTATTTGAATGACTTTTTACTCTAATAAGGATATTTCTTCTCCTGCTTTAGTCCTAAAGTCGATTAAATCATGACATTTACTTTTTCCGTTTTAGAAAGAATGATTCTATTTTTTTTAGTCTGTTTAAAAAAGAATGATCCTTTTTCTTTTCTAGCAACACTTTAACTTTAACTTTCCACGTGACATGTTTAACACCACAAGAACAAAGGACATTTTGGTACATTTGACATAACTTTAATTTAGAACGACAAGATTAAAAAGTCTTCTTTCTTTTCTTAAACTCTGTTTCAAGTCAAACTAGACCATGCTTTTTGAAACGGAGGAAATATCCGATAAGACGACTATAAAGTGATTCAAAAAACTTAATCAATGAAATTTGAAACATTATAAACGTATTTTTTTTTAATTATTTTTGTGTTTGTAGGTTTAATGGATCCAACAAGTCCATGTTGCATCACTTGGGGAAATGGGACATCAGCATGCATACCAGAACTTGTGCCGTGTCGAGACGCTGATAAACACTACTTCTGGGATGGTTATCATCTTACTGAAACAATATACAGAGTTATAGCTACTAAATGTTTCAATGAAACATCTCTTTGTATTCCCAAAAATATTAAGGAACTTGTGGAAAATTGATTACACACTTTTTAATTTATTTACTTTTATTGAAGAAAAAAAAATTCCTAATAAGATTTGTATATGCTGAGCACTTAATTAGTTTGGACAAATTACTACATATATGGTGATAATGAAAAATTATTTTACTATTGATTATAAATTTAAAAGTATTATCACATTATGAAAATGGCTAGGAGATATGAGTATAATTTTTTCTTTTGAAAGAATATGTATATATATATTTTTTAAAAAAAGAAAATTATGCGGTTAAACAAATTTATATTATTTAATTATTCATCATAGTTATATTTTGCTATAATTATCACTCGCAACTAACATTATGCATTAATCACGTGGTTGATTTCGCGTTTATATAATTAGTCACATTTGTATATGTATAATTCGCTAGAATATACAAATACATATTTATCTAACCGATGCACATATACAATTTATCTCTCTCCCACTCTATGCCCTCTCTGACTCGCCTCTCTCCCCTCTCCCAATCTCGCTTGCTTTCTCTCCTCCCTCTCCCAATCTCACTTGCCATATATACAAAGGCAAAATGGTCTGATGGATCCTTATAGTTGTATCAGTTTGTATTTTGAACCCTTCTATTTAAACCTGTCATCTGGACCCTTAAACTCAATTAAAATGAGACTTTTCAGTGCTTCCAACAATGTGTGTAGCCATTCTCCTTTATATAATTGACATGTCATATCCACATCAGATATATTAATGCCGTGTCATAATTATTTAATAACTATTTTAACAATTATTAACCAAAATTATTTTAGAAAATGTAAAATAATAACATTTTAATTTATTATTGGCATTTCTATTTCTCCTTATTTTCACTATTTTACAACCAAAAGAAAGTCAACGTTCATCGGTCATCGTCATTTTTGTCGGCGAAATCACATATACTTTCTCCCTCACCTTTTTTCATCTCAGATACACCACCACTATATTTCTTTCCTCCTCCAACCTCCACAATAATAACAACATGCAAATGGATATTGGTGGCATTACTCCGATGATCTCCACTCCGATCATTTCTAGAATGTTGCCGCCATTCATTTTTTGGTCGCCGGCTACTGGTGGGGTTTGGGAGTGTAAAAGTTTTTCAAGGTTTGTTTTGAAAAATATTTGAAAAATCTCAACGGAAACAGAAATTTGGCGTAACTAGCCACCACACATTAATCTAGCCACGCACAACCATATCTGGCCAAAAACATTTCTGTAATCCAAAGCCGACTACTATTTTCACACTCTAAATTGTCTATAAATACAATTTCACACCAATATATGTCATGAAACTTGTCTAAATTTACTCAAATCTTACCTAAAATTTTCTTGAGTTATCAAAATAGATTGAAAAATAAATGTTTAAGGGATTAAAATGAGATTTGTTGAGTTATCGAAGAAGATATCCAAAAATTTCAAGCGAAAGAGATTAGAAGAAAACAAGTTAAAGGGTTAGAAGAAGATTTTCCCGAGTTAAAAAATTCATCCAGAATTTCTGTGAAAGATTGAAAATATGGAAGAAAAGAAAGCTAAAGTTGTCGGGAAAGCAATTAGCTTTGGGAAGAAAAAATATCTTTTTAATTATTTTTTTAAAAAAAAATTATTTTATAATTTTATTTTTTTTAACCTAAGAAAGTTGTTCACTCGCTTTAAAATGCGTTAGGTCACGCACTTTTATCAACTCAGATATTTAATACACACATAAGTTTGGTCAACGGTCAAAGGACTTTATTAAATTGTGTTTTATTGAGTTTAAGGGTCCAGATGACCAAAGTGTAAGTATGAGGGTTCAGAATACAAATTGATACAAGTATAAGGGTGTATCAGATATTTTACCTATACACAAATGTATATCTATAATAGGCTTAAGTCATATGCGGCCACTTAAAGTTGTCTGGAGATTTCACATGGACACTTCAACTAAGATTTGTACCTATTGAACCCCTCTAATACTTCAGATTGATACCTATTTGACATTTTATTAATAATCAACCCCAAATATTAAGTGAGTGAGATACACTCGCGATGACATGACACAACAACAAATTAAATTATGACATATGTCATGTGGGTCAAAAATATTATTAAAAAAACAAGAAAAAGAAAAAAAAATATTTTAAAGTTTAAAAAATAATTGTTATGTAACCCTTGACAACCCAACCATCCACCCACCAAATAGTCTTCCCCTACCGCGGTGCTGCCATCCATTGGAATCAATCCTGGAAGATTGAGATTCAAAATAAATAAAATTACGACTGAGCGGCGACCTTAATGGCGTTGTAACCTTGCTTTCTTTCACAAATCCATAAAAAATAATTTAGTCCAAGATTTGAAGAAAAAAAACACAACCAATTCATTCTAAAACTGAAGAAAAAACATGACCAAGCATATAGATTTGAAGAAAAAAATTGACTGAGCAGCGACGTTAATGACGAAGATGATAGTAACAACGACTTAAATGAGGCGGGAGAAAAGTATGTATGAAGAAGAAGGCGTATGGTCGCGGCAGCAATGGTGGCTGCCGTAGAAAGTGACTGTAACCTTCTTAAGGAAGAAGAAAGAGATTTTTTTTAAAAAAAAAAATTAAAATGTCTAAAGATATGTTTTCACGCGCTCATTTGCCGTGATTCACATTTAAAGTGTCATGTAGGCAAAACGTGCTTAAGTGGTATCAATTTAAACTACTAGAGGTGTTTAATAGGTACAAATCTCAATTCAGGTGTTCAAGAGAAATATGCGGACAACTTTAGGGTGCTGAATATGACTTAAGCCTATATAATATACAATTATCCAACCGATATACATATACAATTCACCCCTCTTCCATTCTCTGCTCTACTCTCGATCGCCTCTCTTTCTTCCTTTCTCAATTTCGCTCGCTTCTCTCTCCCTTATAACATGTAGATACGAATTGTAACATTAAACTATAATTATAAAGAGTAATCTGATAATTATAATATTAAACTATAGCTATAAAAAGTAATGAGACAATTTTGAGTTCCTCTTTTTAAAATATGGTCATGCTATTTCTACGTACGTAGCTGTACAAAATTTTACAATCTACTACGTGCTGCCACGTCTCGACAAAACCACCACCCAAATTGAAAAACAAAAAATAATTTTCTCCAAATAAAAAAAAATCTGATTTTCTCGGTACAGCTTCCATTCGTCTCAACCCGTCATGATCATCACTCGCCGGAAAACCTTACAACCATCTGCATAAGAAATTTGCAGGATTTTCATGTAGCTATTCTGGTAAGTTTTTGAAATTTTTCAACATTTATAGATTTGGGGGAGGGATGGGAGCTGTAACGTCGTCTATGGCGGCAAAGTTTGCTTTTTTTCCGCCTAATCCACCGTCGTATGGGGTGGTGGTGGAAGAATCGACCGGAAAACTTAAGATGACAGAGGTGGTTCAAGGGGAAGACGTTGACATTTTGAAGCTAGAGACGAAGAAGGGGACGGAGATTATTGCTATGTACGTGAGAAATCCGGCCGCGAAGTTGACCGTGCTTTACTCACATGGAAACGCTGCTGATTTAGGGCAGATGTACGATTTGTTTACAGAACTCAGTCTCCATCTCCAGGTCAATTTGATGGGGTATTCTTCTCTCTGTATTATTGAGATTCAGAATATTTGATAATTTAGGTTGTGTTAGAGAAAACTTTTGTGTTGTAGAGTCAATTGGAGACATCCTGTTCTTTTTTTTTGCTGTCTGGTAGAGTTGGTTCAGGAATTCAAAAGCAGAGACTGCACTTCGATATCAGGGAAGGGTCGAACCACAAGGGTCTATTGGACATAGTCTATCTGTAGTTCGTGTTTGTGACTGTATGTTACATAATAATTCCTGAATCTGGATTAGCCTCTATTACTGACAGTGGGTTACATAATCTGTGACTATTTTATGCATGTGTTTGACAATTTAGAATAGAATTAAGCTACCTTAAGCCTAATGAGGTGCATCTAGTGACTCAGGGGATAAGCTTGTACATGCTGGAGGTAACCTTTTTGTATCACAATAACATGTGTCAACAACGATGATGCGAATGTGATATCTACTGTTCTTAATCACTTTGTTTGTGATCTTTACATGTGAAGAGAAGGCTAGTTGATAACTGATGTTCTAACTTTTGTGATTGATAGTTGTTCCCTTTCTGCAAAGTTGATGTTGCTGTTAAACTTTGAAATGGATTTGGGATTTTGCTTTCCAGTCTGACCTGGTGTATATGCATTAATGTTGGAAAAAAAATGTTTCTATTGTTAAGACCTAAGCTTTGCTGTTTCTTGGTTGTGTGGTTTATACAAAGTAACACATTTAACTTTTGACATATGCCAGCTCGCATATTATTTCGAGCTCATCTTGGGAATCAAATACATTTTTCCTTCCCATTTGATCTCTTCCTTCACTCCTTTATTAGAAGTACCAGATTATATTTTAATGAAATTTGGAGGAAGAGAAGCTGCGAGGTTTAGGAAAGCTTGCTAAGTCTTCTGTGAAGCAATAAAAGTTGTGACTTTAAATCCGGTCCCTAATGTTACAGTTGAAAAACAATAAAAAGGGATGCCAAAAAGGCTGTACATATTTGAAGTTAAACTCACCTTCATATTTCTGAGTTTTCTCTCCTTTCTGGCAGGTATGACTATTCAGGGTATGGCCAGTCCACTGGCAAGGTATGGAATATTTTTTTAGATGATTTAATTAAGTTGTTTGAGATGAAAGTATATGACTCTGTGTTCTTATTTTTCTGTAGCCAAGTGAGCAGAACACTTATGCCGACATAGAAGCTGCATATAAGTGTCTTGAAGAGACATACGGGGTGAAAGAGGAGGATATAATATTGTATGGACAGTCTGTTGGTAGTGGACCAACAGTAGATATGGGATCCCGCTTATCAAGATTGAGGGGACTGGTTCTGCACAGCCCGATACTCTCTGGAGTTCGTGTCCTGCATCCAGTTAAGAGGACATACTGGTTTGACATATTTAAGGTTAGGCTTCTGTTTGTGGTAGTTACGTGGAGCTCTATTTGACCAAATTTTAGTTTTCTGTATTTTCTTCTTCTAATTAGCTGTTTTCTTTCTTTTCCTCATTCAGAACATTGACAAGATACCATTGGTTGAATGTCCGGTCCTCGTTATTCATGTGAGTATCCATATTCCCATCATAAGTATATCATACCTGATACTACCTTAAATGTGTTTTTTTTTCTGTTGTCATGGATTAGTAACTGTCAATAAATTAGCCAAATTGATTCACTTGTTACTCTCTGAGCTTTGATTAGGGACTGATGAGTCACTTCTATGTCGCGGTTTATTCTTTGTGGGGAACTAATTAGAGGTCGGATAAATCTCACGAGGGATGTAACAATTCAATTTACTCCCTTATGCCTCTCCTTCTCTAGTCTTCCCCTGTCAGCTCCTACGCTTAACCACTATTTTCTGGGAATTTACTTTCTTCACTTTTTTTCTTTTCCTTGCATGATTTCATTGATAAAGGTCTTCTTTTTAGTAATTAATCATGAAGTTATGCCCTCGTTTTTCAATTGATCGTTTACCCAGCTAGAGAATAGTATAATAGCAGGAAAACATTATTCTATATCATCTAGCTATCCTCAGGAAATGAGTCAAAACCAGAGGGAATGGTTGAGATAGAAGGCCTGTAGTTTGGATGTATTGACTCCTTAGAACTGCAATGGTGGCGCTTGATTCTACAATTGCCTGCTGACATCCCCATATGACTTTCTTGACATTTCTAGGGCACCGCAGATGATGTTGTGGATTGTTCCCATGGTAAGCAGCTGTTTGATCTATGTAAGCAAAAATATGACCCGTTGTGGGTTGAAGGAGGTAACCATTGTGATTTAGAGCTCTATCCTGAGTACATAAAACATCTGAAGAAGTTCATATCAGCTATTGAGAAATCAACAGTTTCTACCAATGGAAATGCGCAAAGTATGGACCAAATAGAAAAACCTTGAAAAGTCAAGATAGCACAGATTGTAGATGCAAGCCATGCACATAGCAGACGGAGAAATCTAGATCAAGTACAGAAAAGAGAGTGAAAAGCATACCAGCAAAACACTGATCGAAGAGATATATAACGAGAACTAGCATGGACATGAATGAAAAGTTTAGCTAGAACATGGATCCAGAACCACCAAAGAAAGCAAGAAACAACATTGCTCTGTCATATTATATTAGCTGGCTAAGAGTGTTTTGCATCTTTTGTTTCCTTGTACTAATTAGCATGATCTTGTATTAAGCGTGATCACTGCTTTAACAAATGAAGGATGCTACTGGTGGCAATTTCTTGTTGATATTTTGATCTTGTATTAAGTGTTTTGCATTTTCAATTGCTTCAAGAGTGTAGAATTTTCCAGTTACTAATGAAAATTCTTTCTCCAGATACCTCTGTCTTTTGAGTGCTGTGGTGATTAACTGTTTTTGTAGTTGACAAAAAGTATTATGTTCTTTGGTTCCACTTCCCTTCATTTACATCTTAGGGAACGCCATTTCATGGGCGAAAGCTTATGTGAATCCATCTCATTTCCATTTTTACTTCTCCCAACCCAGAATGTAAAACATCAAGAGCATTGCAGCAGACGAGAAGTGAGAACACGTAAATGTAAAAGAAGAGTACAGCCATTATCTGAGAAAACTGCAATAAGATGAACAAGCTAACTGAAAAAATACCATTCAAATATTCTCCTGTTTGGGATAGAACGGTTGGTAAATACATTTTCTTGTTATATGTATGATAACATACAAAACCCAAGTTTGACTAAATCAAGGAACAGGTTTTAGGGTATTGCAATGGAAACAAAAAGATAAAAAGGAACTGTTGACTCACGGTGGAGGAATTTGGTAAGCAGATTGCACTTTGGATTCCAGCAGTGAAACATACTTGTCAAGCATCGAAATTACAGCTTCAAATTCTGTAACTTGCTGTTCAATTGTGTCAATCTGTTGAACATACTCGTCAAATCTGCCACTCTTACACTTCAATTGCTCCACAAAGATGGTCAATCCTGAAGCCACATCTCCAAAGCCTTTATATTCTTCAGCAACTCTTGTATTCATTTTCTCCACAAGTTCAAGTACATTGTTAGTTTCCTGGGAGATAATGAACAAAGCAGCATAAGATCGTTCTGCAATAATAGTTCTTAATATACCAATGGTAGGAATGACAACTATGAAATAAAAAATTTCAAGTATTTTCTCCTTGCAATAAATAGTTACATCATTAATTGATCATTTTTGAATTACACATTTATCACTCTTCAAAAAGCAATTTTCCACTTGCAAATTATTTCTAAGCTGACTACTAAGGTGAATTATTCAGTTGTTATGGGGATGGAAGCATTGCAGTAGGATTACTGTTAGAAACATGTAATGGATGATTAATTCCCTTCGAAAATTCGGTCCATCCTGCTACATTTAAGTGCAACACTAGTGACGTATTTAGCAAGACACAAAGGTTTGGGAAAACAAATGAAAATGAAGAAAAACTAACATCTACCGAAGTTTATCAACTCCTGTACATGAGAACCCCTGTAAAAAAAAATTCTACCAAAAAAAAACTCCTGTAAATGAGAAACCCCTCTCCTCACATCCCTAATGAAAGAAAAGAAAAGGGAATTGACGATATATGAAGCAGCACTGTTTGGGAAAAATAATACACACAAAAACTTTCTTATACCTGGAGCTCGCCTCTTATCATCGTGGAAACATTTGTGAATAGGTCAGTGAGCGACTCAGCCAAGTGGTCCTGCTCCATCTTTCGCAGCAGTTCACGTTTAGGAGCCTGAGGGGTGACAAAACTTGGCTAATGATGGTAGATATAAAATTATAATTATAACCAATCAAAAACAGAAGATATGAACTTTGGTATTGGAGTTCTGCAAACAAATAAAAGAAACAAAATTGCTTTTCATATTCCAGTAAAAATGGAAGAATGAAATTTTTAATGCGGAGATTGACTTAAACAATTATGTCTAATGGGTCAACAAGAAAAAGAAAATAATAGCCAACGGCAGACAACCCTATGAAGGGTATTTGACTGCCTTCAATTATTGCTGGAGAGCTTACGATACAAGACAAATAAAGGAATATCTAGATTGAGAAAAATTACTGCAGAAGTCAATTTAAAGCATAAGTAGAGTAGAGTAAACTAGGGAAAGTTCAAACTAACACATCAAGATAGTATGTATAGAACAGTTATTGCTACCGTTTTGTACAGATTTTGCCTCATGTCCTGAAGCCATCATTGCTAATACAAGCAAAATAATAGCTGGGATGTAAGATATAAAGAGTTGTCAGGATTGGAAAATTGGAAGTCTAGCCACGTAGAGTGGTTATATGAAGGCGTAGTACTACTCTAGCTAATTCTGTGCAATTTAGAAGTTGAAAATGATAAAGCTCTTTTAGTAGATTTTTTATTAGTTCATCACGTAACTGAGTAGGGGAGGAAACTTTTGTACCTTTTATTACACGTGCAAAAAAAAAAGTATGTCAAGGAACAAGAGCGATTGAAGAAGGTAACCCACACAGAGACGCATGTGTATTTCTTTGGATTTAAGATTGGAGAAGGATATAGCACGGATTAATTAGACTATATGTGTAAATTTAGTACACAAAAGGTTTTTGTTTCAAATGCAAAAACCTGTGTCATGAAACTGTGCAAGAACCTATGGTATTAGCACCTTAGCTTATCCAACTAGACAGAGAGAATAATATCTCAAGACTCTTTACCACTTTCCAAATTGTACTCTTAGACTCTACCTCTTTCCAAATTGAACCAAGAAAGAAGAAAATAGTACGTCTTTTGTTTCTTGTGAAACCATGAGATTCCAGGATACTAATAGTAGAGTTCCTACTTTTGTTATACCACTTGTATACAGGGGATTTTGCTATTTAAAATCATCAGATTCTGCAACGAATCATCAAAACTCACAATGCTATTTTCAGTAATCTATGTACATGATTACAGGTCAATTACAAAAAACCAGACTATTTTAACTGTATTTTTCTAACTAGAGAAAATTGCTAACAGTCCTTATATAAGCAACGAATAACACCCCTCAAGCACGAGACTTTGATTTTTCCTCTCCTTTGGTCGGAGAAGTTGATCTAGCTTTCAACAAAAGTATTAAGCAATCGTTCATCTGGTATAAGTCTGCAACAACTTCAAAATATCATCTCCATCAGTTTCATCTGTTTCCTCATCTCGATCTATTGACATGTTCCTTTCTAAATCTCCTTTTAGTCACTACTATTTTCATTTTTTGAGGAATTAGTATCACTCACATTCTTCTTAATGTTCTGTGTAAATATATTTTCCATCATACCGAACACACCTTGAGTCGTTGGCCCATTAGATAAGTCATTTTCCACCAATTTTAGGAAAATTTGTTCTGGAATAAACCCATAATATGAAATTCCAACCAAAATCTAATCTTCACCAAATATCTCAAAATTATATATAATTAAACTCGTAATGATATAATCAATCATTTGCAATCCCTAATTCAAAATAAATAATAATAATTTCACAAAATTAGGGCTAATAAATAATCTTCAACAAATGGATTGCAACTCTTCCCCGTTTACTGAAAGACTGAACTTTTAACTAATCGAGAGAAACGGTAGAAAGCTTAAAGTAGTATAGATACCTTGTCGAGGACCGGAAAGAGACAAATACGAAACGGAGAGCCGCCTCCTTCTAGATAGGGAGAATGAGCGAGCCACCACAGAATCAATGATCGCCGGTGAACAAACGGAGAAATGCCACACACAAGGTATTTCAGTTATTAGATATTAGGAGTACTTTACAAACACGGAAAACTGAGAAGAGAGCATTTTTTTCCAATATTTAACATGAAATATAGCATATTATTGTTTACATTTACCAAATTAAATTTTATTATATAAAAAATTAATGTATTATTGACTATTGTAGGTTAATTATCGAAAATACGTTAGTTTCGTCCCTCAATTATTTACAATCTAAACCACATTCATATACTTGTCTAATTGTACCTAAATACACCACTGATCTTGGCAAATGAGTGAAATACACATTTGAATTCTCGCTAAGTTTGGGAAAATGTTCAATGTTTTCTCGACTTTTTATTAAGAATCTCACGCTTCTACAAGAGTTTAAGATCACTTGCTATGTCATTTGACAGATCGAGAGTGTATTTAAGTTGAATTATTCACATATAGGTACTGTGTTTTTAAGGTTGTCAATATTTCGAGAATGAAACTAATAATTCACGCCAAGTCAGAGGTATTTTCAATGTTTCTCTCTAATTTAAGTGGATGTATTAGAAGTTTCTTAATTTTTATTTTTTCTAGGGAAAATGCATAAGTACCCCCTCAGCCTATGTCTGAAATTCCAGAGACACACTTATACTATACTAAGGTCCTATTACCCCCTGAACTTATTTTATAAGTAATTTTCTACCCCTTTTCTGCCTATGCGGCACTAGCTTGAAAAAAAAAGAGTCAACCAATGTTGTGCCACAAGATAGTGACACGTAGGCTGAAAAGGGATAGAAAATTATTAATAAAATAAGTTCAGCGGGGTAATAAAACCTTAGTATAGTATAAGTGTGTCTCTAAGATTTCGGGCATAAATTGAGGGTACTTGTGCATTATCTTTTTTTTTTTTTATATGTAAGGGGTCTAGAGGGTAGGTTATGCATGTGCTTAATAATGTATAGTTAGTTATTATTGTAACACCTCGAAAACCAAACTTAAAAAAAATGCAGTAGAAAAATTACCCGAACCAATGAACCACGAAAGGGTTCACGAATTGTGATAGGGTCCACGGTCCGTTGAATTGCCCATGAACTTAGCACTTCTACCAGAGGTGGACCATGGGACCTTTCACAGGCTGTGGACTACCTCACGGGCAATTCGGGAACTTAGATGTCAAACAATGGGACCCTTCACAAGCCGTGATCTTGACGACAGGGCGTGGTGGCGCCCGTGGAAGCCCTTCACAGGAAATTGCCTAAATATAGACCCACGGCCAAGCCCACTGTCTGTTGGTCAGACCACGAGCCGTGGTCCTGCTTCGTGGATCAGACCCCAAGTTCAGCCTCTCTGGAGTCTAGTCGACGGTTGACCATGGGTCAATCTATAGACCGTTAGTCAGCCCGTCGGTTGGTCTCACCAGTTTTTAAGTCAGGGATCATTTGGTCATTTTCTTATGCGTTGAACTCCTAAACTACATCTTTTAACTCCTAAACTAAACAGTTTTGACCAGTTTTAGCCTAGAAACTAAATTAGAACCTACAGTAGTCAATTCATTCTCCAAAAACTCATCCAATTAGAACAAACGAGAAGAAATCGATCGAGCAGCCTTAGTCCAAGAACGCAATGAGTTCTCGTTAGTTCCAGCCCCGAAATTGAAAGATTTCTCCGTGAAATTTATTATCATGGTATGTGGGATTTAATTAGTGGGTTACTTTTACCCATTAAGTCCCTAGAATTTAGTGAGATTCTTGATTCCCTCCATATTATCTAGGCCTAGAGTTTATGGAATTTCAGCAAATTAGTTATTTTAATATTTCTAATAATGATTATGACGTAGTAGTCTTGTTTTGCGCAGATTCATGCATAAACTCTGTATCCTAGTTATGCAGAATTTTTATTTCATGAATTACATTGGCAAGGACATATAAACATATATACATGCCTCAGTTTTGAATGTTTCATTATCAGATACATGTTGCATTTTCAGATTTTTGCATGTTAGACTATTGAGCTATTCAGTTTACTTAGTATGTTACAAATTTCATATATTCAGTTGGGAGTAGGCTTTAGACCGAGTTGGACTAGGTTCAGTCACTCTCAAGTCCCAGAACTATGTGCGTCGTAGGTTATAAGTCCCTTTTGTGGGCATCAGCTTAGTGATCACGCCAATCATGCCTTTATACCACTGATCGGGTACATTGGGTCCTATCGATGAGGCGTATACATCGAACTCCATATGTTGCTCATGTGATTTTATATCGGTTATTAGTAGCTCGAAAATGCATTTGACCAAGTTATCAACTACAAGATGTTATAAAATTGGTGATTGTATTCGGTTAGTTCATATTAAGTATTTTCAGTATAGTATCATGCTTATCTTATACCGTTGCTCAGTTATATGCTTTGTTCAATTATGTATATTGTTCAACTTTATCTATCCTGCATGCTCATTGTTCAATACCTTTTAAGTACCGTCTCGTAATGTAGGTTCAAGTCATCAACTCTCAGATTACACATAGATCAGTTTCTGATCTTCAGCTCAGCAGTATCAGAGGTGAGTCCTCATCCTCCGAGGATGACATATGTGTTTCTTATCTACATTTCAGTCCTTACTTTTTGATTTTTGCTAGATTTAGTTTAGGCATGTCCTAACATTTCTAGTCAGTTAGATGTTTTACTTCAGACATAGTTAATTTAAGTTTTAGCTTTGCAGTTTGATATTCCAGTTGTCATTAAACTCACAATTTATTTATTTAGGTAGTAATGGATATTCCCCATCATTTCATTTTACATGATGTTTTAAGCTTCCACACAGTACTTCCTTGATTCAGTTATCTTTAAGTATGCTTATGATATGTCAAAAGAGTTAGCTTGGGGTCACTCATTATCCTAGGTCCTGTGTTCGCATGCTGGGGATAGCTTCAGGGCATGACAATTAAGGAATCTATTTATTATTCGGTAGATATTAGTTATATATATATTAATTATTTCATATTACATTATGTATAAAACAAGACATAAATTCTCTTATAACTTTCATATGTATTAATTATGTGAGTTTCTAAATATCAAACCAAACACAATAATATTACTTTTATACATAAGCAATTACTTCCTAATTAGTTGCTCCTTCTATCTCTAATTACTTGTCGACTTTGAATTAGCACACCTATTAAGAAAACAATGATTGACATAATGAGTTTACCATTTAAACCTTATTAATTATGAAGTGGATGTATTAAAAAAACTTAAGAGTTTCAAGAAGTTCTACATTCAAAGTAATTAATGGAGGGTATAATATGTAAAAATATTGTTCTTTCTTAATTTGCCAAAATGGACATGTAATCAGGAACAACTAAAAAAAAAGTGGACAAACAATTAGGAACAGAGAGAGTACCAAACATGATAAGTATTACTTTTACGGAATTTAAACTTTTGTTTTTTTATCTTAATTTGTTTGAATTTAGTTCATTACTCCCATCTTTCCAAAGATGTTGAATAATTTTAAGCTTTCACTTGTAACATATCAAAATGTAGTTCTTTCACTATTTTTATCTAACCAGCCAGCATACCTCTAACAGATGACTAAACAATCCATCAACATTTCATATAGTAATATGAAAAGGAAACAACATATACTTCTATACAAACTCAGCCATATCCCACTGGCTGTTCTCTCATTCCATTAAACAGACATCATTTTCGTCATACGATAGCAACATGAATGACAGGATTTGATACATCTTGAGCAGAGCTACTCAAGTTTTAATATCTAGTATATATATAAAAAAAAAATCTTATTAAATCGCGAACTAGGAAATGCAAGGAAAAACACCATCTCCTGCACACCATAATGATCCCATCTTCAGTCTGTCTATCTTCCCCGGAAGTGCATGTGATGGTTCCATCTCAATTATTGCTAGCAGGGGAAATGAGAAAATCACTCACTTGGTGATGAATTCTTCTTAATCAAGGAATAGGCATCGCTATATATGGCCACCACGTTTGAAAACACAGCAATGACAATCATAAATATACACAAGATCTTGTCCTTCTTTGTTGCTATGCCATAGGGATCTCTGGAGCATGAAAAGACAGCAACTATATCAGTAACTGGTTGACACTATACATACAGGGAATGAGAAGTATTCAGGGATGAGAGAGAAGATCTATGGCAAAAGTAAATTGACAAGTGCACATGATCCTAGTAAACTAACAAAATGGTTTACCTGAGAGTAACAGAAGCAGGAAATATGTACCCAATGCAAACAGCAGCAGTTGCCCCAGTGAATTGAAAAGCATCCCAGATGCTTGGGATGAAATTTGCACCCAGAAAGATGATGGCTATGAGCCCACTGCTGATCGATGCAAATCTCAAATTGTCACTAGTCAGAGGCCTTGCAGAAGGAAAGAGAAGACCATCCAAATTAAGCCTCAATGGATAAAAGACAACGGGAAAGACAAGCATTAGGTGGGCAGCATAGCTGACACGAACAACATCATTGAGCAAGGAGCCTAATGGAATTCCAAGATTGGTATCGAAGTTGGCAAGCACATCATCAAGGGTTGCATCACCAAATAGGAGAAAACCAAACAGGCTCGTCAACACATACACACTCGAGCAAAGAGCAAGAGAGCTTTTCACCACTGCTCTGATCTGTGTTCTGTCTTCAAGTTCATTTTCTATGGAGTGAACTGCAAAACTTTCACTTTCAGAAAACGAGCAATTCTTAATGTTGCATTTCTAATTTTAAGATGAAGAATTAACTCCTTTAGCTATAAAATCTTCCAGTCAGACTAGCATTTCGATCAAAGAAGAAAAGTGGGACAAAATATTACATTGAAGTCAATCAGAGATGCATAGACAATATATAAAGTGGACTAGTTGGTTGAATGAATGGAGATTAAGACCAAACTAGCACCCAGTAGGATTATTTAAGCTAATACTAATTTTTCAAGAATGTATGTGTTTCGATTAACTGACAAATACAAATACTAGGATAAGACTAAAAGAAAACAAATAGGGAAAACACATAAATGCAGGGATTTTATCAAACTTGAAAGATTAAATATCACTGACGAGAGCCTTTGATCATCAAGGATGAAAATGATGCACCA